ATTGTAATGTCAAGCACCATCAGACATAAACCCCCAGCATGCTCAAGCCTCACATAAGACTAAAGCCACCAGGCACCCTCAGATGACCCCCTCACCTGGCATGAGAAATACGCTGATAACACTCAAGATTACCCAGGGGAATCCATCCAAAATGAAAATAAAATAAAAGCCAAAAGCCAAAAACTGTTTACTTTTCTTAGGTACGAACCTTTTGAATCACAGTTGTTTGATGATAAATCTAAGTGGGTGAGAAACACTTAGAAGAAAAGGGTATCGACAGTGGTAGGGAACTCAGTTACTGAACTGTTGGAATTCGATATGACTTTTAAGGGAACAGGAATTCCGTCCTGAAATCCATCTCACTGACCTCCGTTGCCTTCCCCCCGGGCGCTGGCCTCCGCCATTTCTGTGCCATCCACTTCCGACTCGCAGCCTAAATCCAGCGTCCCCTCAGCTGGGCAGGACGACTCCTCTTTCTACATCGTTTTAAAAAATGATTTACGGAGATGTGTTAGCAACTGACAACATTCAACACACTTCCAGCACCCTAAAGCATCACCATATTTACTTGTCATTTGAAATTTTAATACTGACTTACTGTTTAATGTAAAAGCACACCTTTAAAAAAACAAAACTGGCCCTCGCTGGTTTGGCTCAGTGGATAGAGCATCGACCTGTGGACTGAAGGGTCCCAGGTTCAATTCTGGTCAAGGGCACATGCCCAGGTTGTGGGCTTGATCCCCAGTTGGAGGGCGTGCAGGAGGCAGACAATCAAATGATTCTCTCTCATTATTGATGTCTCTATCTCACTCTCTCTCCCCCTCTCCCTCTCCTTTCCCCTCTGAAATCAGTAATTTTTTTAAAAAAGAAAATGTATTTATAAAAACAAGAACAAAAAAACTGGGCAAGGCCCATTGCCACAGCTGAGTTTTGGGATAACCTTTTAAAATCCATACAAAATCCATTCCCCTTTGACATACATTGTTTTCATTATGTTTTTCAATTCTACATTCTCTCTTATGTTAGGAAATGACTTCACAACTCAGAATTTTAATCACTAAATGAAACACCCAAGTAGCTACAAAAAGCAACTAAAATAATACAAGGTTAACCTGTCCTTATTTTCTGAGACACACACAGTAACAAGAGCTTAATGCTTAGGAGCTGAGAAAGAATCTTTGTTTCTCTGCCAGGTACAACTTTTAACATTCAAAACAAAACCTTCTCACAGGAAATTAATGAACTTCCAATGTAATCCATCATTCATGAAAGCAGTGGCTTCTTTTTAATTCGTAAGGAATAATATACTGCTTCTACTCCATCCAAGGCACATGAGTGTTGGGAGACCATCGGCTTTGTCCGTGGGAATTCTGCATCTTAGATGGCGTCTCCCATTCCAGTGGAAAACGGGAATTGCACTCAAACAATGAAGACTCCGTTATCTGCAGCTCTCTCTATTCTTCTCACATAACAAATATGCACTGTCAGTAAACCTGCGTTGAGATCACTGTTTGCGTTAAAAACCTAACAACATTGAAATCAGCAAGTTTTCAAGGAGAATGGAGAGATTGCTTCTTTTTACGAAACACAGAAAGGCATCAGGTGTGAGGCTATGTATCCACCGTCGGCCATTAAGCCAGATCGTCTGTGGCAACTGTGATCTGAAGCTCTTGGCTGATGATCCGTGGCACCCGTCCACGTGGATTTTTAGGAATCAAGAATGCTCAGAAAGCCACAGCTATTTTCCATTACCATATGTTAGGCTGCAACCACAGATATGTTTTCCTTAAAGAAAAATGTCATTGTTTATTCTTAATATGAAATCATTTTTAAGACATCTGAAAACATTTAGGAGGCATCGAGGTCATTCTTCTAAACCTTCACCCAAATCTAATTTTGTTTACCTGCCCATGTTGGGGCGGGGGGGGGGAGGGGGAATGCATGATACACAGGAATAACAGACATACTATGCAGAACAATGCAACTTACTTTGAGAGCATAGAGGCCTGACTTTCCAGGGATCTTGAAGAAGGTTCCATCCCCTATTCGAGTGTTCGTGTGGAGCATTGCATTCAGACAGGCTAATGGAGAAGTCCCACTAGAAAACAAAAGTGCGCAAAAATGAAGCAGTCTCAGACGCAGCTCCTGTGGCAGAACTGTTCTCTCGCCTCTTAAAAAAAAAAATCCTCTTGCATGCCTTTTAAAAATATCCTCCCAACCCTGAAAACATCTACATTACAATAACAGGCCAGTCCAGTTTGCCAAAGTTAATCAGATGCATCTGTCTTATAGGCTCCAGGCAAGTCTCCTGAATTGAAATTATGCTTTTATTCATAAAGCAACCAACACTATATTTCAAAGAAACCGAAGCCCAAACGTTTATGTGGTGCTGTTTTGCAAATAATTCCAGGAAGCCTCGGTATTTAAATATGACAGACAACTTGATGGTTGCACTTGAATGATCAAATAAACCCAAGTTCAAGGGCAGTTCCGTCCTATAGGTTGAAAAGCAACAAAAGAATAATAAGAAACCCGGGAAGGACTGATTTGAAATTTAAGTTACTCATGGGACTGCATTTCTCACAAGGCTCAATAAAAATTTATATCTGTGTTTTTATCTCTGACACATCTTCAACACTAACATCCTTTTCTCAGTTAGATTTGTCAAATCAAGAAATGTGCGCTTGGGAATTCTGCCCAGCTAATAATTATGTTCTGCAGGAAAGATGCAAGTGACTGAATTATGAAATCAACAGTTTTTTTAAAAAATAACTCTAACAAGTATTAAACTAGTGATTAAAAATACCGAAGCCCATATGTGCAAACATTACTGAAATGTACTCATCTACATAGAGAGATGTTTACGAAATGTATGACACATATGCATTTCCTGGGTTAGACTTTAGAGCTTTATTTTGTGTTTTGTTTGCAAACCGTTATCTTTGCAAACTAGAATTTAGAGCCAGAATTATTACTTTCATTTACTTATGTTTCCATACACATATGCTAGAAGACCAACAATTGGTTGAGCCAATATTGATTAGCATCCCTACCCCACCCTATTCACTTCTCAGGTGAAATATTTGGGGACAAGAGGACCTTTAAGATGATAAGGTTTAAATTTTTTTTTATTTTCTGTGATAGAAACATAATTTTGCATTACCAAATTAAAAGTTTCCTAAAAGCCACCATTATCAAATCTCTTCCTGAGCATGGAAAGTCACCGATAAAATGAAAGCCATATTTGCTGAGTTTCCACAACATACTTAATAGCGAGTCAGCATATACATCCTGGTCCTCACGGCTTCTAAGTATTATAATAACAAGAGCATCTTTATCACTTTACACAGCAGCGCTCTGTGCCAACACGTCAATACGATGCCACTGGGCTTGACAGGGGGGAGCGAGAGCCCGCACATAAGCGTGGCTGCAGAACAATGCCGTTGTAACGCTGAGGTCCACACGGTGGGAATGCTGCGTGCTTGTGTAATGTCTTCCCTCGTGAACGTCTGCAAGCTCTCAGCCTCATTATTTTCCTTACAAAAGATTTTGTGCTCGTATTTAAAGTAGGCCAGGCCTACTTCATAAAGTAAAATACATTCATCTCCCCAGAAATGTCTGCTCATGAATAAATTCCAGATAAAGGATGCTGCTATACATGTTATACTGAATACTTCAAAATATATATTTTTTATCATTATTCTCGTCAGGCAAAAGCACGGACTATTGGAAGCCGGGAATTATTATGCCAGATTTGTGGAGTTTTAATTTAGTGAAACTGTCAGAAACACAGATTTCCTGTAGAGCCTTGGCAGGAGGATGTTAACACTACAAGTAAAATAGAATCCAATACATAAAAATGATACAATGTAGACTTTAAAAATATAACTTAATACAATTGTCCTCTTAACATCAACCTTCACGCACATTCTTCCTGATCTTTATTCCCAAGGTCCTAGCACACACAATTCCAAGAGCTATGATTTAGAATATTAAGGAATAACATAGCATTGACGATAGCTAAAAAACACAGAACAAATATAATTTACCATCACTATAATTTAAATTTTTTTTCTAAGGTACAGTAAACAAAAGATAATTGAAGATAAATTGACTATTAAATAGCAGTTTTCTGCTATGCTTGTTGCAAACATGTGATAAGCACCCAGTTTCAGATAAATAATAAGCTCTGTTGAGCATAAATATATTATTTAATTATACTGTTTATTAACTCAAGATTCACTATAGAAATATTTAAAAATATGTAATTCACAATCTCCAAAAGTCTCCATGACTTTTTTGCTCGTATTTAAAGTAGGCCAGACATACTTTATAAAGTAAAATATATTCATCTCCCCAGAAATATCTGTTCATGAATAAATTCCAGATAAATGATGCTATGTATGCTATACTGAATACTTCAAAATACTAGTACATATATTTTTTATCATTATTCCCTTCAGGCAAAAATACAGGTTTTTCCCAAATCTTTCCCAAAACAAACATGAAATTTGTTTTATTTCCACACCCTACAACATTTGCCTTTTAGAAGAATTAGAAAATACTTTACAAAGGCAAATTTTGCAACTCAAATCACTGGCTGATTGGTCACTTATGCTTATGCATGTCAGTTGCAATTCTTTACAGAGAAGTAAACCTTATATGATCTGTTTTATTTAAAACAATAAAACATTAGCATATATGTGCAGAATATACATAAAAGAGTGCATTTTAAAAGTCTTTCAGACCATTTACTTATAGCTGTTCTCAACAATTCCATAAAGCCTAGGAAATCTGGATTGCTTTTCCTGGAAATGAATCTTAACTCCAACTTATTTCCCCGGGACCCCTCAGTCCGCAGGCCGACGCTCCATCCACTGAGCCAAACCAGTTTCGGCTATTTATATATTTTTATATTCACAAAAAAACAGAGCTAGGAAGCATGCCTTGGCCTACTTTAAGAAAAAAATATACATATACATATACATAACAGACATATATATATATACATATATATATATATCACAATGACTTGCTGTGGGCATAAAAGATGTGTTATATGTGTTAAAAGTCTTAGCATGAACAGCTATGTAACGTTTCCTATTTTTAATTAAAACTTTTTATTCACACTAAATGTAAGGGTTAATAACCTCAGTCAGAATTTAAAAGTGAAAGATGCTGTAACTTATATGTACATGTGCATATAAAATATTAAAACTAATAATTTAACCAAAAAAAAAATCTCTGAAATTTCAAAAGTTACTTACTTTCTAAAAGGGTGAATTGGAAGAATCATCCCGATTTATGAAAGGAAAACAAAGGGAAAAAAAGAAGAAAAAACGTTAGTTTTCCAACTTAAAATGCAACTTTGCATCTTATCATTTCACTAATGGAACAATGAACGAGAAACACACCAACTCAGATCTGGCTGCTGTCGGGAGGCGAATACCGAGGGGCTGGGTCAAAGGTGGCTCTACGTTCTCCCCTAACACTTCTACAACGTGTTCATTCTGTCCACAAGGCACAGGCGTTTCCATACAGGAATATAATTAGAAATAAATAAGTAAAAGAACATGTGTCCCTAATTCTCTTCTTCCCATTGCCCATCCTTGGGCCCTTCCCTGTCCACCTGCCAGGGTGGACATACAGCTCACTCTACTTGTTTGTTTTTCTCCGTCGACTGTGGCGTATGGAGCCTTCTGGTTTGTTTTCGCTTCCCGCAAGCCCTGAAGCGGAACAGGGGTGGAATTTGGAGGCAGGGGAGCAGGCATAATTTAAACTGTCTAGACATCAAAGAACCCCCAGAGATGCTTGGCAGAGACCCGTGCCGTGTGAAATACTGAAAAACCATTGCTTTATTACACCGGAATGATGACGGAGCACATAAAATTTTACTAACAGTGCACACTTAGTCAAGGGAATGAACGGCCTATCTATTTTACTAATTTTAAGAACTAGGAAGAATACCTGGGAAATGAAATTGGAGGAATATTTGCAGACATGACAGAAAAACATCATGATTGTGGCCTTCCTTCCCTTTGTCTATGAAATAATAATGCGTTCCAAGCGGTATTTAAGTCATACAAACCTTAAGCCACTTTATTTTATTAAGTATCTCAATAAAGATTTAAGGTGAAAACTATTTCCTGAAAACATTTTTAAATCTAATCCTGAACAAGGTAAGTCTAAAAATTCAACACGTTCAAGAAACTTATTAAGAAGCATTATTAGACAGTTACTGTACTAAGTGCTACTAATATAAATTAATAGATACAAGTATATGCTCAAAAAATTAATAATAGATCATTTTAAGTATTTTCAGTGTTGATAGCTCAGAGAAAATACCTTAATTATATTTTAAGAGGATATTATGTGGGTCTCTAGGGTGCAAGTAATGTTTTATTTAGTTCTTACTACAGATGTGTTCACTACGTGAAATTAAATTACTTACGATTTGTGCATTTAACTTTATGTTAGACTTCACACACACAAATTTTAATGGTATAAAAGGAACAATCAACTTGGATTATCTCTTCATTTACATATTTAATAGGCATGTCATTACTAGTGGAGGAAATTAAACTATTTCTACCAATGAATGTGGAAGACTCCTAAACACATATAAGCACAGTGTACATCACTTGATAAATCAATCACCTAGCCATCCTAGACGATTGAAAACAACCCTAGAAAATCAAGTCCAAACTACCCTCTTACTCTGGATAGAAATTACTGCTAGTCTGGAACTCCCTAAAATGACTGAAAATAAAAACTTAAAGTCTACAATCCTTTATATATGTTACATGAAACATGTTAGCACATAAAATGTTAGCCCAAAAATGACCTCTAAAAAGGTCACTAATAAAAGTTTTTAATAAGCACTGACATGTAAGGATTATCAAAAATTAGAGTTTAAGGACATAAAAGTAGATAGGAATAACCAATTAATTCAAGAGATGGGTCATATTTTAAAGGACGATATTTTGCCCATTTCTATGTTAACAATATAGACATGATTTTCAATATTCTACACGTCTCTAATGTAAAGTTATAAACGTAGTCCCAGTATTTTTTATGAGTTGGATATATTAAGGCAAG